CATGACTTTTTATTTCAAAAATTTGTCCGAATCATAAGTGATTTATTATAAAGTTTATTATTTAATTTTTTTTCTATTTTTTATTTAGAAAAATTTTAGTAAGTTATATTATTATTTATCATTTTTTGTTTAGTTTTTTTTTCTGTTGCTTAGGTCTACTTAATTTGCACAAATTAATTTATTGCCAAAAAGGAAAGCAGAAGCTATTCACATACTTCACATCAACTTCCATTTTTTTTATACAATTTTATTAAGAAAAAAAAAACACAGTTTAAACGTTTTATAAAGGAGAAAATAAACTCCTGCTTTTGGTTRATAAATATACCTTACGACAAATTTTACTTATAAAAGAAGTTTTCAATTTTTGTCGACGTTTTGTAACGCGCTTCCACAATAACACTAAGTATGCTAGTCCTAGCGATTTGAGCTTTTATTTTCAATACACAACTTAAGGATGTATGTATGTGTACGTAAATGTATTATTTATAGAATTTTGTTATCAATATAAAGGGTGTGCCAATATGCAAGATTTGARTTAAATAGAGGATGTCTCAAAATTAATGCAAAATCTTAATTTGCCGCCATTTATGTAGTGAAGTGTTGACAACCCCCTAAAAAATCGACAGCTGACAGGTTAGGCCTGGCTTACTAACAAAGATGGCTTACATGATAGAACAACATGTCTTTGTTATTGAACTATATTTCAAGAAAAATATAAGCTTAGCGGGCGCAGTTCGAAAATTTCATACAGAATATGAGCGGAGTAGTGTTTTAACTTTCTCAACCGTGAGGAATAACTGAAATGGCAGCAAATTTAAGTCTGAGGTTAATTTTGGCATACCCTGTAAAATTCAAATCGGCAATTGACGAAGGCATATAAAAATAAATAAACTTATATACATATATAACAACTATAAATAATCGTGTTGTTACAAAAAACGAGCGAGGGCCTAATACATATTGCGCAAAACTGAAAACGCCAAGTCATGCTCGCCAGCTCAATTAACGTTGGTAGCGACATCTTCGTACACTAACTTAAGACCTTATCTTGATATCACGTTCTACTGAGGTGTTCAAACTATTTGGTGTCTTCAATGCAACTAGTTGCYTTCKTTATGCTTTTTGTAGATAGACATTCAAGGTTTGGTATCTGATGAATTCCCAAACTTCGATGTCTGATTTGTCATAAAGACTGCATAATTACAGAGGAAGTGAAAACCTGTTTACTTGCTTCCTTTGAGTTCACAGCTGCGGTACGTGCTAAAGTGAGGGTTTCCCATTYTAAACGCATGTTTTCCAAATGGCTCCAAATGTACTGCTTTCCTGAACCTATGTAGTAGATCTTTGATTTTGGTTTTGTCATAGTTTGGGCATATCTGTTTCGTYATCCTATCCTTGGTTTTAGATCTCCATCCATACCGAAATGTTCCTATGATCCGAAATCTAAATTATGGTTAAGTCGAGTTGACCTGCCAGTCAGCTTAAAGCGATCGTTCCTTATATACTATGCTTGAGTTCATCTTTGACGACGACATTAGAACTTCAGAAAGAGGTTTTCCATTCTCGTCTTGAGGATATTCTCAGCTGGAAGCCCCTATTAAAGACCACCAATCTTGGGACGATATAGTCGGATTTATTTAGATTGGTTTCGTGCCAATTCTGAACTCCGCTATGTCCGTTACTCTGCATATTCCAAGCACCAATCTCCTTAATTCCTATCGCAGAAGGTGTTGTCACTTTGTATAGTATATCCCAATGTGCGTTCCCACTTTGGATGCGCCCATTACCATTACTTAAGCCTCTTCGTCACGGCAAGGTGACCAAAGTTGAAGGAGCCCGTAATGTCAACTAAGTTGCTCAAATGCGTGTGTTTTATATCGAAGACTGGTACATAAAATGACATACCTACTSGCACTGTATAATCGTAAAACGGTTTAAGATCGAATTGTTTTTCGCCCTCCTTCGGTAGATGTTCACGATCGAGAAATGATAGTACTGGGTATAAACGCAACACTTCGTCAAATACCATACTCAGATATGGTAGATTATTGATARTCTCATATGRCRTTKTACCCTTGTCAGCTAYGAAAGCTTCACAGTTTTCATYGCGCAGACGTTCTTGTAAATCGGGCCGTTTCGATAATTCGTATAGCGTACAGCTGACAGATATACCGCTGCCGGTGCTGTCAACATGTCCTGCAACTGCATATTAAATTTGCTTTTCACAACAGCCTCTTCTTTAAGGCGCACCAACCCATCGTTGATTTATGAAACGGGTTCCATGGGTTCAGTTTGAGGAACAAGAAAAAATCACATAACTTTAAATTCGGTCTCAATCAGATCCAACTTTATCGGGTAGAGTCGAGCAAGAACGCGTTTCATACCCAAAATATTCTCCAAAATCACGAGAGAGAGTTCTCTTACTATAGATTTTCAATTTCGAAGGTCGTCCAGAACGAGGCATGTCTCCAATGATCTCTCGACTGAAGGCTTTGAAGGATTTGTACAACTCGTTGGATTATATTTTTGAATCACCGTATGCTTTTTCCAACATTTCTTGGTAAGAAATACAAAATTTGAGACAAATTCTTYAGGGGATACTTTTACCCAYTGTAAAAACGGCAACACACTACGGAGGTGTACCGACTTAAGCACTGTTGTAAACAAACTGGTTGACAGCGATCTTCAAAATGCTCTCTCATATCGGAAATGACAATTGCTCCGTAACCCCTCTCGCTGTTCGTGAAAAAAAGGTTTAACAGCTGACCAGTTCAAGAGCGATAAGTTTGAAGTACATAAATAATTTTAACTAATTATTTAATTGCTCAAGGCAATCGCCGACAATATGTATATTTAATAAACTTATTTATAAGCCTTTCTGTRTGCTTGACTACAATGTAATTATAATCTTTCTAAAATAGTTTACTCTTAACGATAAGAAACTATCAAGAGGGACTAGGCGCTGTCYGTCCCACCGTTTATGTTAGAATGATGTATCACAAGTTCTTCAARTGTGCTGATAAACTCTCAGTTCTGTTGTTAATGCTTTGTTTGTGTAGGACTGCGAATTTAATAAAAAAAAAGATAGCTAATTTCTGCAAGTCATTCAATAAAGTTAGACCTGGTCTAACACCACCCTATTTATAATGTTTAAAGTCAAGATAACRTGGCGGGAAATACCTTATTTCGTAGAGACAAAAAAAACGTCCACAGGAATATACATTGTCTCTACCAAATAAGGTATTTCAAACCGTGTAATCTTGACTTTATAGAATATATATACACCTTTTGTCCAGAAAGTAATAGGACTCATTTTCTTCCGTCGCGACTATACTTAGTTCTCTCTCAGCACCTGTAGAGTCAGGATAAACATTTTCGCGCGACGTGTTTCTGTGAGTGGTGTAAGCCGAAAATGCTGCGTTCGCTAGGGCAGAGGTAAGCGATTAACTTTTTTACATCAAAGGCATCGTCCACCATGAATTTGTTCTTCCTAGACAAACCGTCAATGYCAAGTTTTACATCGAAGTTTCCAAGAGATAGAAAGGAAGGGCCAATCAATGTCCGAMAAGATATCGCAGCCGATTGAAAGTTGCACACCGACACCACTACCTAACGAAGACCGGCAGCCCAACGCTTCTGCAGCCGCCCTACAGCCCAGATTTGGATATCCCGGACTTGTTTTTGTTTCCTTTCCTGAAGAGGCCGTCGAAAAAAGGCTATTCCGGAGAATGCCTTCCGTAACGCCTTCAATGCTTGGAAATCGCGTTGGCAGCGCTGCATCTACGCGGAAGGAGCCATTTTTGAATGTTTTGCTCCATATGATTGGTGATTGTACATTCATGAAACCCATAGAACWYWTGTYTTATATGTGGCATGGAAATAGTTARTAGATAAAGTCGGGTCGAAACTACTACAAGACCCATATACTACATGTAATGACTTTTGTTAATAAATTTGCTTAGATTCCGATCCTCTGGTTGACGTTTTACACCTTAAGGTATTTCCCTGGCGTTGATTTATACAAGTTGCAAGAGCATAAAATGTTTGGTTGCACCCGAACTTAGCCCCGAAAAATTCGACGAAGAAGTCCTTAGGGCGGCTGAGTGTAAAGCTTAATAATTTTCGTCCTGCGTGCGAAATTCGACGTTTGGATTTACAAGACTATTGGCTTTCACACCAAAAGCGATGGTTGCAATTTTGTTGGTGGTGAAGAGTGCACAAACCTCTTTAATTTCAGTTACGGAAACGTCGTCTGTCTTCGCATACGATTTCAAATGGGCTTCCAAATCCGTGCCGATCTATAGGCGCGTAACGAGGGATACAAATAGTAAAGAATATATWTTAATATTAATGTATTAGGTACAATACAAACCTCAGTCATTAGTGGATACATTTGTTTGATCTTTCCCGTTGTGAAAATCGGCGTTATTTTCGTTCTCAAATCCTTCCATTGTGGATTGCATATGAAAAATAGATTATTCGAACCCARGGGATCATTGTGTGGATCACAGCCGGCTGACCGATTCGAAAACTTCAGGAACTCCTTTATAAGTACGAATGTTATAAGTTCCGGTGTGTTAAGTTAACACTAACGCTGGCCGRTTAAGTATATAGATGCCGACCGCTGCAGCCTTTGACAATTTTGCACCCTTATAAACATCAGATAGATACAGATAAAAACTATTTAKTTTAAAAATTTATTATTTTTAACTCTTTTTATACCTTCAGAAAAATACAATGTATAAAAGAAGTTAGTTTCAGTCGACCTTTTGTAACGCGCTGCCACAATAACACTAGGTACGCCAGTCCTAACAGCTTGAGCTTTTATCTTCTGACGTACTGTATGTATAAAAGGATGTTTGAATGTCATTAAATTTGCCAGTTCATTATCTATATTCAGTGTAATGACTAGTATTTCGCGCATATGCGTTGTTGAATGTGTGTGTGTATGTGAAATTAAACAAATAATTAAAATGCCATGCGGCTTACACCCGTGATAAATAAATACATTGTAATTTCTTTGCACTATTAATCAAAATGCAGYAGAAGTAAATGAAAACGTATTTACACGATAAATAACACAAACATTTTATAAAATATTATATAATAAACGACTAATTGTCAATAAGCAGTTTAACAAGGGGATTATAATAATTACGGCAATATTGTAAACACATGCATGTAAGTATGTTGCATTAAATCAAGGTCGTCAGCTGGCCGCGTCTTTCAGAGCAATAATGACATAAACTRCAGAGTTCTGAGAKTACAGSTATYTTCTTTTYCTTTATTGGCATAGACRCCGCTTACGTGGTTATTGCCTAGTTTACAACAGCGCTCCAGTCGATCTTCCCTTTCGCTGTTTAGCGCCAATTGGAGATTCAAAGTGAAGCCTGGTCCTTCTCCATTTGGTCCT